TTTTTTTTTTTGGTACCAGGGATCGAATTCTGGTCCTTCTGCTTGCAAGGCAGGCGGCAGAACCACTGAGCTAAATACCCGGAAAAATCAGTATTTTTAATGAATTCTTTCTTTTGCCTCAGAAAGGATAACTGAAATGTGAATTAGGATGAGAATACCTCTCCTGACTTAACCTTATGGGCCACTTAAAAAGTAATTGGAATTCAAAGGTGTTACTTCAAATGTCAACGCTGTATCAGAGGCATGGATCCTTCAATATAGGGCAGAGGAGCTTAAACTCAGAGATGCGTGATTTTTTTTCCAAGACATACAGCATTTTCATTTGGCAGAGGTGGACCTGAAACGCAGGGCTCCGGAATTTCCTGCCAGCCTGCTGCAAAGCACACTGGCCTGGTGCCTGTCCCTGCAGACGAGGCCAAGCTGTTGGACTGGGAATAGAAGCCAAGGATAGACAAGGGCAGGCGGATGTTAGGTAGACAGGTAATAGACTGACACGGCGTTTGGCAGGTGCTACACATGTTGGTAGCCTGGATGATGAACAGAAGATGGATTTTACGAGCTGACCGACAGCCCAATAAAAACGCAGACAGGAAGTTGCTTTAGAACCCAAGGGTGACAATCACAAGGACTGCTAACGGCTTTATTTTCTATTCAGCCAAATAACACGCACAGGTGACCCACGCTTCCTGTTCAAAGGTTTGAAAGTGCCCGAAAACTGATGAAAAGAAACGAAGACTGACACCTTGGAAACCTCACAGAGAATTGACTCGGAGCTCGGCTGACCTCGGGTGTTGCCGGAAATGGCCGACAGCCGCCCTCAGCAGAGCTGCGGGACGGGGGCGTGGTCGACTCTGCAAACTGAGCGGCTTCGGGTGTTTCCGGAAACTGCCGAAAGCCAGCTCAAAGTGGGCGGAGAAAATCGATGGGCGTGGCCGAATGGCTTTGGAGTTCCCGGAGTCACTTCGTGGGTTTCCGTAAATAGAGCCGAAGCTCCTTCTTCGGAATACAGGAGGCGGGCGTGTCGCCGGGGATTTCATTCTTCAGCTGTTTCCGGAATTCACCCCGGTCTGTAGCCCAGAGAAGGCTCACCCCCACCTCCCGTTCCTAGACGCTTCGGATTTTTCCGGCTCCTGACGGCGGAAAGAGCCGAGGGCCGGCGGTGGTGGCGGCCATGTTGGGAGCAGCAGGTCCGGCGGTGGCTGTCTGTGTGCCGGGCGCGGAGCAGTGCGGCTGAGGGCAGGGGAGGAGCGAGGCAGGCGGGCTGCTGTGGCGGCAGAGAGTAGGCGGAGCAGCTTGGCCCGGCCGAACGGCAGCACAGCCCAGCCGGGGGTCGGGGGGGGG